ACCCCACCCAATGAAGGTAAACTATCCCCCCACCCAATGAAGGTAAACTATCCCCCACACAATGATAATAACGGATGATGTCTCCTTTTATCTTGTTAGATACTGGCAAAGCACGTAATGAATGTACATCTGAATTCACATCAAATGTCTGAGGAGCATGCTGACGGAGAGATAAACCTGCTCACACTGAAGAAGTATATCTCCTACTGTAGGACGTAAGTACTGCATTCATTATCTTCAAGTAATAGGGATATTATGTAGAGGTGTGTATTCTTATACGGGGGTAACCAGTTCTTACAACAGTAGTTATAGGGGATGGTAAGAGTATAACATTTCATGGATGCTGCAATGGAAGTTTGAGGATCTTTTATAGTATCGTATAATTTACCCAACTATTAACCAGATTATGAACAAATAGAAACATACAATGCAGAGCAAGAGTTTGTTTTTGATAATCCAGTGGAATTTTTCTTGTCCTGTAAATTATACCACATTATATTTGCAAATGCCTTGTTGTCTTTCCTAGCAGCTATCGAGATGGAAAAGCAATTAGCAGCCAAAGATTAGAAATTTTAAAATCCTTTCACTTAAAAACAGAATCTGGTATTTTTTCTGTCTTACATGGAAATCACATGTTAAAAATACTTCTAAGGTTAAGCTACATTAGTTGTTCTGCATGACTTGAGTCGTGGTATGTGAAGATGAGACATTTCTGAAATGGTGACATCTGTGTTGTTGTAGGAGATGTGGCCCAAGATTAGCAGTGGAAGCTGCTGAAAAGCTGAAGAACCGTTACGTGTTGATGAGAAACAGTGCCGGCGAATATGAGCGGGAAACCGGAAAACGTATCAGTATACCAATTACTGTCAGGTGAGTCGAGTATTGGAAAAACGCATTTAAGTCTTTATATGTCGGTTCTTGTCCAAACAATATTCCTACATTCCTTTTAAACGCGACAGGTTTTGTGAAAACATTCCCCGTCAATGATATTTATTGCTACACAAAGTAGTGAATTATCTTGAATAAAATGTTCATTTTTGCACCCTTTCAATGCAAGCCTAGTTTGGGGTAAGGGAGGGGGATTATCCAGGAATCCACATGTCTGTCCTGTAGACACTTCGGTTTCCAGACCATATATTCTTTGTATTCCTTTAGGTATGTCCTATATTCTTCACAACCACCCATGTTGTGAGGAGGAACTTGATTATCGTGTGAATTGTATTAAGATCATGGTCACTAGTTGCATGAAAACTGTTAACTAACACATATTACTATCTATTCACATAGGACCTCGAAACATATTACTATCTATTCACATGGAACCTCGAAACATATTACTATCTATTCACATGGGACCTCGAAACATATTACTATCTATTCACATAGTACCTCGAAACATCATATCATGATTTACCCATATGATGAGGGATCCCTGATGATTTTGGGGTCAAAAGTCAAAATTGCTATAAACCCTTGTACAAAAATGAAGTATAGAGGATATTAAGTACATTGGCCAGGGTCATTTCCACTGATTCTGAAATAACAAACAAAGTTGTTTCCACATCATAATTACAAAAGATAATTACCCTTGACCAAGTGGTCTTTGTGTATTAGAAAGTGAAAAGAACAGTCGCATTTAAGCTATTTTTGCATGTAAAATTTTGCAGTGAAACAAGTGTTCATATTAAATGTTGATAGGCAATTGGAAGCCATTATTAGAATGTCGGAGTCCTTGGCCAAGATGAGGATGCAGCCGTTTGCTTTGGAAGGGGATGTTGACGAGGCCCTGAGACTATTTCAGGTGTCCACATTGGATGCTGCTATGTCTGGGAATCTATCAGGTTGGTGTTGATGTCACTGTTTTGACCATTTGTCTCCGCCAAAGTTTGATTGTCACATTGTTGCTGTTTTGTGTCGTCCATTCGTCCCTGCCCTAGAACAGGTACTTTTTCCCAAATTTTATAAACTTGAAGCAAAGGTTCCTTTGGTAAAAAAAATAACAAAGCATGAAAAGAAAGTTAAATCAAAATGGGGGACAGGTGTGCACAATATTTTTACCCACAAACGAAATGAACAGTGATCACATAACTGTGATTACTGGACCTTAAAACAAAAATAGGGATGCTTTGAAGAGCAATAACCTTTTTAGTCACCACCCCTGGGTTTCAGTCCCAGATTTTGACCTCTGTTGTCTTGGGCTGTTAAGTTAGTGCTTTTGTCGGAATATACCAGGTGCTAATTACAAGCTCTTGGATAACTCTGATATTGATTTCCTTTTTAAACAGGAATATCATAAAACCTAAAGGCGTTCCAAATTTCACACGGGAATTACATATAACCTAAAGATGTTCCGAGTATGAATCGGGCACCTTTGAGGTTGCCGAAGTGGTAAACTGTCTTGTTATAAATTGCTATTGATTGATTTAGATATTTTATGTCTGACCGACGACTGCCGTTAATATTTGTGTAACGTGCACACTTTTTCAAGGAAAAATGAAGTGTCAAGAAAGGGGTGTAATACTCAAGAAAAATCCAAAACCAGTCCTTGGTCGTGACATTTATCGTAAATCTTTCAAGGATTTTCGGAAATGTTTTGAAAGATGCACGCAGCAATAAACTGCTAAATTTCGTTGAATAACCCCTGATTGCATTGCCAATTCAACAATTACGAAAAGTTGCAAGTTAAAGTCATATTATACGATAGAATCAGATAAATAAACTCGAGTAAAGTAGGCCTAACTCTTCAGGACGTTATGTTGTGAATTAATAAATACCACGTATCGGGGAAACATAACGAAGAATTGCTGCATTTATCACTGGGGTTAAAATGTTGTTCTTGGGTAAAATCATGCTGAACTTGTCAATCTTGACAGTAGGAATGTGTCAAAATGACATGGGTAAAGTGGCGAAGTTAGCAAGTTTGTGTACTGCAAAGAGTCAAGGTCGCGTGATACTATTAACCGACAGGAATTTACAAGGTGGCATCCATGCAAATTGAACCGATATTGATAAAAGTTTAAGTTTGCAAAATAAATATTAACAGGTTGAAAACAGCCAAATACATCCCAATCTTTTCTTTTCAAAGAAGAATTGCTGAAATCACAATTGTTTGGTGTTCTTCATGTCTTGCGAATTTGGCTGTTGGCGGTCTTTGTCTGACCTGTTTTAGTGACTGTCTTTAAGCGTACACACTCTGCCGATATCGAGGACTGATTCAGACGGATTTGCAGACATCAGAAAACTACTTGGAAATGTGTATTTCATAACCAAAAAAAAAGTTTAAAGATTTATCCGTATATAAGATTGAATCTTTTCTGAAACTTATTGTTGTGAAAACAACATCGTTATATTCCAATTACCTGTTCTGCCCATGCTAGGTGACCGTGTCAGCGTGCAGATCTCCCCATATTTGAGGCGATGGTCAACGCTAACGTTATAATTGCGACTACTATAACTAAGAGGCCGCTGGTCGGCCTTTTTTATCGGAGATGATTTTGCCGACTGTAACACGGCGCCTGTCAAAAGTATCATGCCGTGTAAACCTGTAACACTGTTGGAGTAATTTGCGACATGCTTTCTGATTAATTCCATGTGTTTGTATGGCTACCTGAACAGTGTGTATGTATTTACACCTGGTCATTGTCTACTATTTTGATTGACAGGTGGAAATATATCCGTTGTAACTTGGTCAATGATTTATCATACAGAATGATAGGGTGACGTATTTCTAGTTTTCGGGGACTTTTGTAAAGAGATATCTTGGTTTTAATATTAAGGAAACCATTGTTTTGAATTGAAATGTTTTGGTACCAATATCGTTTGTCTCCAAACAGGTGTTGAAGGGTTCACAACGGAGGAAGACCAGGAGCTTTTGAGCAGGATTGAAAAACAGATCAAAAGACGATTTATCATTGGATCCCAAGTATCGGAACATGCTATTATTCAAGACTTTACAAGACAGGTATGATTTTTTTTTTATTTAAAAAAAAATATAAAAAAAACATGTCATTTGGCAAATCCGATTTTGACCAAACTGCATAAATGTTCCTTCCATGATCCTGCTGAGATGATGAGAAATCTCAAAATTTAGGCAAAGTTGAGACTCGAGATGTTTGATATGAGGGGGACCTTATCAGGTGAGGTTATGTGTTGGCTGAACAAGATTGTCAACCATGCTGCTATAATAAGTAATCCCCTCTTGATTGGACCTAACATACATTTGTTACCTACAGTGGATAAAGGATTTACTTATCCATTCTACATCACTGGAGAGCAATATTCTGTTGAGAATACTGGAACTACGCTGATTGGCAATGAATGTAATGATCAGACTAGTAATGCTTGTTAGACTTTAATGTAATCATTTTAAAGAGTAACATATTTGTCAGAGACAATGCTGGCAAAGAACATCTTAAATTTAAACAAATTTCAACCGAAGTACACGTACAAAGATAAATGTTCCTTTTTTTTGCATGTAGCATTTCACCGATAGAAAGGGTTTTTGATAATCATTGAACCATTATCTCAGGATTGCCCCCCATTACTATGTGTTGGTTCAAATTGAAGCCTTCCTTACCCCCTTGTACTAATTATTGTACCCAATGTAATTTTCAGTGTGAAACCCAGAAATGATAAAAACAATGCATGACATTCTGATTTTGTTGAAACAATACACGAAGAGATAAAAAACAATGTGTGTTTGATATTAACCCCTTAAAAGTAATTTCATTTGAATTGCCTTTATGTATTCTATTTTGTCCTTGCAGAAATATCCTGAACGCTCCATATACAAAGTGCTACACTTCATGATGAGACGTGGGGAGGTACAACACAGAATGCAGAGGAAGATGTTATACAGGGTCAAGTAGAATGCAGAGGAAGATGTTATACAGGGTCAAGTAGATCGCTGACCACAGTTTACAAGATATTTATCACAAGGCATCAAAACTTTTCAGGACTTCCAAAACCATTCATGATTGGACGAAGCTTTCCAAGCCTAATAGCATAATAATGCATTCAAATCAAGTATGCACTAGAAATCAAAATATTTGGGCATGGATAAATGATGAAAATTCACATTTTTCAGACACTTCAGAGAATTTATTCCCAAGTCAGTGTTATGGTGCAGTATAGTTTGATGGCTTATGTTATTAAATCATTCATTGGTGTATGAACTGTAGTATCATTAATTGGTGTATGAACTGTACATGTTATACCATTAATTTGTGTATGAACTGTACTTGTTATACCATTAATTGGTTATGAACTGTAATGTGATAATGGGAAGGATTTTTCCTGGATTTGCTCTAGAATATTGGACTTGTGCATTTGATATATGGAAGTTTGTACAGTGTGTTGCGAGTTATGAATGACTAGAACAAATCTATTGTATGTACATGTATATATTTATCAAGTAGCATTGAATTCTGTAAATATTAAAGGGAATAAACTTGTCTTAAATATAAGCTTAGTTGCCTTTTACTACTTGAATAAGATTCCTTTTATACACATTGAAATTGTCTCCCTTACATTATTTCATTATAAACATGCTTATCAATATCTGACAGCTGTTTAACAAAGACCTGTTTGGTAAAAACCACACGATAAAAGGTATTTAATGAAGAGAGAAAAATACCGGTTGTACTGGAAATGAACAAATGGAATCTCAAAGTTGATGATGAACAATAGAAACAAAAACGAAGGCTATAAAATGCACCCATACCGCCAAATCTAGGAACTGATCATGCCCCATGCTTTCACATAAATGATTAGAAATGGAAAATTTAATCAAAGAACAATCTAGTTTAACTGCAAAAAAAGTGGGTCTCGATTGCACAACTGTCTAAGGTATCGAATGCATTACCAAATCTAAATATTGCAACTGTTATTTAAATAATCAAAATAAAAATTAACACATCTGCTCAACTACCTAGGTAATGACCAACATGTGTACAAAGTTTTATAAATATCAGTCAAGATTGGCCATTTGAATGATAAGTGCAGGTGCGAGATTAATTTTAATTGACCAATAACTGACGATTCCCATATTCAAGGTATTTACATGTATAAGGCAAATATTCAGGTAATTGTCATTGAAATCTGTAAAATACTGGTGCTAAATTAATGTCAAGGTGCGAGATGGTGAAATTCTAGGTCGAAGGCAAACGTATTGGGAGTTTCAAGACTGGAATCTAGCTTATATAGGTGCCCACCATAGTACCATCTTCATTAGTTCTATGTCAGTTTGATATTTTCTCTTGTCTGTTCGATCAGTTTGCCTATCCGCCATCTTAATAAAATCTTTTGATCAACCTCAAAAGTTAACATGCACAACTCAGGACCAAGGGGAACCTACATATCAAATTTGAGAAAAGTTCTTCTAGTAAATTCTGAGAAATAGCGATAACAAACTTAAACTGTAACAAGATGGCCAGCCAATATGATTTGATATGCATAACTAAGAACAAGAGGAACCTTCATGTGAAAAATACAAGATGGCTGCCTGTCGGCCATTTTGGTTTTGTGATCAGTCCCAAAAAACGGTTATATGCACAACTAAGGATCATGGGGAACCTTCATGTGAAATTTGAGAAAGATCCTTTCAATAAGTTCTCGGAAATAGCACTAACAAACTTGCATTCTCAAAATCAATATGCTGCCTGTCGGCTATTTAAGTTTTGTGATCGGTCCCAAAAAACAATATGCATATTAAACTAGGGATCATGGGGGGAACCTTCATGTGAAATTGGAGAAATACCCAACCAATAATTTATGAGATATAGCGTTAACAAACTTTCATTCTCAAATTCAAGATGGCTGGCTGTTGGCCATCTTGGTTTGTGATCAGTCTTAAAAACCGATATGCATAACTAGGGATCATGGGGACCCTTCATGTGAAATTTGATAAAGATCCCTCCAGTACTTACTGAGAAATAGCACTAACAAGAATTGTTTTAGGGATGACGGACTGACAACGCACCACAGACGCAGGGTGATTTGAATAGCCCACCATCTAATGATGGTGGGCTAATAATCTTGAGAATAGCAAGCATAGATACATACAGGCAAAAGTTATACAATAATGTATCTCCTTGTAAAAGGGATAATAAAACAACTGGAATCTTGGATACATGTTTTATTGATGATTAAAATGGGCAAATCATTGACTTGCATTGCACTTAATGGAAAAGTTATTGAACACAGAACAGAATGCAAAAATAATAGTAAAAAAAGAAATATATAAAGATGAAAACCTTAAATTTGTACAATTAAGTTTTGCATTTAGAACAGGTTTGTAGCCATAATACTGTATACCAGGAGACTTTGATCCTTCTGTGGTAAAATCCATATTGGCCCAATTTTAATATCGTCTTTCACATAATTATTACTGTATATGCTGTATGGGGTACTATTTTTTTACTGTCCTGATGATTTGTACTAGATGTTGATGACAAAAAGTTAAATTGCGGTGGAAATTTTTCTGTATAAAGTAATTTCATAAATAAATCTTCAGAGTAAACAGAAGTTAACCAGGAGGCCGGTCTTGCTTACCTGGATACTGAATCAGCTGATACCT